AGCACCGGTGCTGAAAAAAGGTGTTCCGACACCACAACCTAATGAGAGTAGTGACGCGGTCGCTGGTCATGACCGGCTGGCGGATACCAAGGGTACGCCGCACGCAGGAATTTCCTGCTCAGTGGCCGAGAAACCAAGTTTCGGAGCCATACGACAGAACAGTAGACACACACGCCATCAGAAGGCGAGCCATAGTGCGAAGGCTAACAACGCTGGATTTCCACACGTGCCGGAACTTACCATAGGCGGCATGTGCAACAGAGCAACGTCGGGCGACATCAAGGGCAGCACCTGCATCTGGATTACACGAAATGAGGGAACCCATTTTTTTTGTAGCACCGCACTTAGTCACTTCAGTGTCTAGTATCCAAAGAACTTTGCAGCCAGGTCATGGAGCCCTGTCCCAGGTCGGGGTAAAAACTGGAGACCTCCGTCCATTCAGTTTTAAGCAAGTTCAAGTCACAAGCCTGCGAGCACTGGGCCATTTCAGAGGCCATAAGCTGGAACTTCTCCCAGCGGCGAGAAACCATGGCAGTATCGTCGGCAAAAGCGGAGGTCGTGGTGCATTTTAGTGGCCTTTTTGCGCACCTTGCTCGGCTCGCGCACCGTCTACTGCAGAAAGCCAGTTTACACTGAAGGGCGGGAGTCTGGCAAAATAGCGTTGAAGCCAAAGGCGGATCACAAAGGTAAAGTAGACGAAGAACGGGATGGGGTCGCTCAGGAGGCCGTTGGGGCTACATACCCCCCATCCAAAGCCTTGGACAGGTCGAGAAAAAGGACATACAAGCTGGATTCTTCAGCCGCGGCCGCATCCGGAGAGGTGCGTGTCCACTCTTCCACCAACCGACGTAAGACACAAATGCCATTTGTGCAGCCGCGGCCCTTGCGAACGCCCAGTTCACTTCATGTGTAAATAATTTCGGCCAAGGAGACAAGACGGGTCTGCAAGCATTTGCAACAAAGCTGACTACAGATATCATCTGAGAGAACAACACCCCGGTGGTTATTCAAATCTTGATAGAAACCACGAACAAGACCGAATCGTGCCAGTGGTCAAGCTGCTGAGGGTCCAGTCGGCCGTCCCAGAATTGCACAACGTGCGCGTATAGTTCCTGCAGCGACGATGACGCACGCACCTGGTACAGCGCTTCCCGTACTGACGCGGAGGACACGACCGGACGGGCAACCTGAGCCAAGGCTTTGGCCGGTGACAAAAGGATAGCACATCCACTGCTGCGTCGGGCGAGCCTTGGTATACCATGGCAAAGTTTGGCCAACTTGCAAATGCCAGCGGATCTCTTGCCGCAAAGCATACAGGCCATGCTCGGTCAGGCGATGTTTTCAATAGTTCCAATTCATCAAAACCTTTCACAAGAATCCGATCTCACTGCCACTGCTACCTACACCACATAGAACAATGACTAAAATATGCGTAACCTTAAGTGTTTAGTTTTGAGCCACACCGACAAAAGCAACTATGTACAACGAGAAGAATGGGTGGCTGGTCCATTTCTCCTCAGACACCACATTGCGAGTGTCCGAGGACACTAAGGCAAAAAGGCAAACAAGGCGGCCGCGTCTACCGAGGGTCGCCCTCACCCCGTAGTCTGTGGCTGCACATGTGGTGCTGGGTCCACACCACTGTCATCAAGCAAAGTGGGCAGGCGCAGTGTAACCCTAGCACCACGCTCCCGCCCACGGCGTACATCTGGACATGCTAGTTCCTTCTTGACGCTGATCGTGCCGCGAGCGCAGAACTCCGCAAAGAGCGCATCTGTCATGGCCTTGGCCAGCTGGCCGAACGCAGCTAACCTTGCCCAGCGCTGGTCGGCTTTGCCCAGTTTCAGCGATTTTGGTTGGGATCACGTGTACTTTGGCGATACAGGTTTGACCAGTTCAACGCAGCTGGCAGTCTGGCAACTTGCTGCTGGATCAACTCCTTGGCGCCGAGAAAGTCCATGCTTTGCCGCTCCGTCATACCAGAGCTGACGCAGTCGTACGGTTTCCCCAGACAGGGGCAAACCAAAGACGGGGTCCCATGGCCATCATCTCCGGCAAGTAGAGCTGCTCGTGCACTTTGGCAGGCGCAAGACCCTGACCCTGGCGATGCTGCGGAAGCCGGGGACGGCTGCCTCACAGACTTTTTGTTCGCTCCATGTTTCCAGGTGGCCTGAAACACACTCACCAACCGGCTCTGATCACCCCATTCTGGTAGGTGACCTGGCTGCCAAGCTACTCCGCCGGGTTGTTCCCGAGCACCGGCCGCTCTTTGACCTTTGAAGCTCTGGTTTATCTTGGCAAGGTCGTGCGAGCATGCCGTTGACATGAAGGGCCTACAAAGCTTTGGTTGCGCCACCCCAGCATGAAGGTCATCCAGCAAATGTCCAGCTTCAAAAGGCCGCGCCACCATGTACTGCGCCGCCTGAAGACGCCAAAGACGCGGTGCTCCTGCCAACCCGCAGCTTTGCCCGAGAGGAACGCTGTTGTGATGTCAACCATGTAGACTTTCAATTTCAGGATCCCGGGTCGTTGTCGGACTGTCCTGAACTCCTCAAGTCCCGGATCAAGATGACCTGGGACAAGCGGAGACTTGGCCCCTGAAGATCCTTCTCGGGATCAGCCTGGCCTTATTGGGGCGACTGCACCACTCAAAGGCATTCCACACGTTCATCTCCACGAACTGATCCCACAAATTCTCTGCTTCTGGCAGACTCTGGCCATTTTTTCGCTTCATAAAGGCTCTTTCTTGGGCTTGTGCATGAAGGGTGTCGCCCCTCTCTGAAACAAAAGTCGCCTCCTCGGGTGCTCCACCTTTGCAGACTCGAAAAGCGATGCCAGACCAGTTTCCTTTTCCAGCAAACTCATTCGTACTTTGGAACCCTTGCAGTCTTCCTTGGCCCTGCAGCAAAGCATACGGGAGATGGGAATTGACATTTTCCCGTCGTGCTGTGACGTTACGAGGCACAGCACACAAGCATAGTTCCCTAGATGTCATGCTTGAATTTTCAATGGAGGATACATGATAATGAACAACTTATATGGTTGAACGTCACTTCTTTTCTTCTTCTTTTTTTTTCTTCTGCTGTTTTAGCACCTGTGTACAGCTGGTTTGGATCTGCCGCTCTGTTGAAATTCACTTACTCCCAAAGTTTAAGGAGCTTTGTTGTTTAGGATGTCCTAGGACAATGGACGAGTTTCTGTCCCACTTTCGCTTTGACTCCCTCGAGGCGCGATCGCGATGTGTTGCGCGGGGCGGAGGCATGTGTGCAAATGATGGCGACCTCAGGGCATGTGGTTTGCAACCTCCAGGATGAAGCTTCGCATATCCCACCGAGCCTGAGTCATCCATTTGAACCTGGGGAGAAGTCTTTCTCCGGAAAGTCCATTCAAATTCAGCTTCACGATGTCATGCATACCATAGTTCTTTACCCCAATCCGCTTGGCTGCATATTTAACGTGACAAGCCAGCGTTTGCCAGAGCGCAGTTTGACGAATATGCGCGAGCAAATCAGCTGCGTTTGAGCATAGGGAAAGTGTTCAAGTAATTGCCACACTCAGAGTATGTCACCACGCAACATGAGCTTGGCAATTCACTTGCAAAGACTTGGGATCTGAAGAAGCGCCGCATGAACATGCTGCGAATAATAGAGGCTTTCAGCAGCCCTGTTTTTTCTACTGTGCTTTCGTTTGGCTTGGAGTGTGGAGTGACTGAGTCGGCGCCGAAATGCGTGTGCTGGTTTCCAGGGTAGAGGGCGGGTGCATGTCCGCACGGTTCCACATGGCTTCAAGGGCCAGAACACGAGCCGCAGAGAGCTGCAGCATAGCAGTGGGATCGGGCCAAGCATTTGACTGATTTGCAGGGGGACTTGGCCGTCCAACTCTGGTGTTAGAGGGGACTTGACAGGTTTCTAGAGGCGAAATTGACCGGTTTCCACGGATTTTAGGGGGGGAGTCGATTGGCTTCTGGCGGATGATTGGCTTCTAGATGGGAAGTTGACCAGTTTCTCGCAGTGATTTGATCGGCTCTAGAGGGATCTCACCGATTTCTACAACTTTTAGAGGGGAATTGAGTGGTTTTCAAAAGAATCCGGTTTTGAGTTTGAGAAAGGATTCGAGTGCCAGGTCGCATGGTTCCTTGAAAGCTGGGCAACTGTCCTTGGACCATGGACGCATCCGGCGCAAGCTGGGTGGGACAGGTCTACATGGGGCAGGTCTTTGGGTTGTATCCCTTGCCGTTCCTCGGAAAGTTGCAGGGTTGGCGGATGGGCGCGGAACTAGGGGCCTGTTCCCCACACACACCCGCTACGATGGATGAGGGGAAAGGGCCGCCAACATCGCATGCGGGTTGGGTTGGGACCACATCTTCAATTATTTTGACACCTTGATTTAGTTTGCATCCAGGGCTTGTCTGTTGAGGGTCCCCCTGAAATTGGTATAGCGGAAAACCGAAGGAAAACCACTGGGGTCTCTCTTTGCCTCCAAATTTGTATCAATCCCAGGCGGCGCTGGGCCAGAAAAAGGGTATGGGCGCCATGTGCTGCGCCGTGCTGTCCGGGGCACCGCGGCCGCATCCGGCGGGGGCCGGGGGGGGGGGGGGGGACTGGGTGACAAGAGGCGACTTTTCCCCGTTTCCGCCACAATTGGTCAGCTCCTGCACGGGTTTTCCAACAAGATTAGGAAGCATAGCTGTCAGTGCTTATGGTATGCCTGGTATGCTTTGTGATGCTGATCGTGGCTTCCCTTAGGTTCAGTTTTTGTGGGGTGGTATGGCACGTGTCAAATGGAAGGTATTTCGCAACATTGGACTACCTGCATGTCGGGGCATGTGGCAAGTTGCTGTGTCACGTCAAAGATGAGTGGCAAGTCTTTGATATGTGACACACGACATCCTTGCCTGTTGGCTCAGAGACTCGTCGAGTCTTCTTGCCATTCTTGGTTTGCAAACGCTACTTCATTGCGAAGGGCGCCTGCGCCTACATTCGTAACGCAGAGACGAAGCAATGCCGCGCGCGGAGTTTTACAGTCTTGACGGCGATGCAAAGCTGGCGCAGATGATGGGCGTGACCCCGTCCTCGCTGATGGCCATGCTGAAGCAGAACGTGGACCTGAAGCAGTTCGGGGTCAGCGCTGAGTTTGCGGAGACAGCCAAGGCGGTGTACGAGGCGGTGCCGGGAGCTCAGGAGATGCCGGAGAGAGAAGCTGAGCTAGAGTTGGTGTCACTGGTTCTCATTCGGATCTAAGGACGGAGACTTCCAGCGGTGATGATATTCTAGTTTGCTGTTGCTGCTGCTACTTGATTGGGGAGTGCCTCGAAGGTGTGTGTCTTAATTCTGGATCTGGCAGACGTCGACGTTCCCTCCTGCAGACGCAGATGAGTGAGCCAGGCCAGCAGTCCATGGATATCCAGCCGGAGAAGATGAGTTTGCTGGGCTTGGCTTCCAAGATTAGTTCCGGGGACTTGGACGTGAAAGAGCTGCTCGGGACGGAGGATTGGAGCAAGAAGGAGCGATTTGCCCTGTGGATGTTTGGGAAGAAGTTCGGCAGCACGGAGGAAAGCAAGCTGCGCCAATGCGTGGAGAAGTTGAAGCAGGTCTTGCCCGAGATCGCGCAGCAGGACTGGCCGGGGGTGGCCCGGGCAGGACGGGGTGCAGGCACGGCGTGGGACGCAGGGCGCAAAGGGGCGCAGGATTTCAGGTCGGGCTTGGCCCGTTCAACGAGCTTCAAGCAGGTCAATGGAGTTCAAAGAGCGGTACCCCTGAGTCCATTGCTCCAATGCTCCTTTGGTGTGTCTCAAAATAGGGGAGCCCATCCTTTTAAGCGCTTGGGCTAGGGGAATCAAGAGAAGGTTGGGGGACTCCCCCCAAAGGGGTGGTTTCCTTAGGCACTTGTCCATTTGTGTTTTTTGCAAGCTGGATAAGGACGTGGGACATTCCTTGTGAGTCCGCAGAGGTTGGCCAGCAGGGTGGCCTTCAGCCCATCGAACATCCCGCGAAAAGGCCCTGGACTTCCACCACCGCTTCCCCCGCTTTTTTTTTGTTTGCCGCCTGACCCATGCGTCACCAAGGTAAGGGTCGTCTAGGCTGGAAAGCGTGCGGTGAAATATCCAGGAGAGAGCCTTCACCTTGACTCGAGGGAGTTGCGCGGGGTTGATTCCGACCATTTTCTTCACTGTTCACCCATCTTTCTCTAAAGAAAACCACAGCATTTCGGTGGGGATTGGCACATGGTGAAGGTACGGCTAGAGTTTTAGATCCATTCTTGCTGGATCTTGATGGTTGAATCGGCCTCCAAGCTCTTTCGGTTTGGGTTGGGACCATTCCCCAGAACCCCCTACGAGTTTGGGTTGGGTTTTGAATGAACCTCAGTTGTGGCGTGTAAAGTAAAGATATCCTTTCACTATAGGTTGATAGGGATGGTCGTCAACTACTAGGGATCTTGAGACAACCGTGATTAGGATTCCTATTCAGCAGGTTTTGTGTGGACCCTAAATGAGAAGACTGCATTCTCGCATCGTTCGTCTCGCCCTGCTCCACGCTTTCCTCTTTTGCCATTTTGTTTGCGATGGATCTGGGTGCTCTGCCACTTGTGCTTGTAATTGCGCAAGGTTTGCAATTCCAGGGGCTCAGAACCGACACAACTATTTGCGCAGGACAACATGGACATGGAGGAAATCAAGCGAAAGGGCAACACGACAAATGTCAAGGTCCTGACGAGCCTCGCCCGCAGCGTGGCGACTGCAGCGATGTTGAAGCATGGTGCGAACGTTTCAAACGACGGGCTTGGGGCTATGGGGCTGGCAGAGTGTGCCCCAGTGCTCTGCGCTGGAGACCTGAAGTACGAGTTGGATGCCACTGGCCTCCACAAGTGCGTGTGGCAATGCCCGGCAGGGCAGGTGCCGGACACCTTCGAATCCGCGGGCGCAGACCTGAGCCAAAGCGGGCACGACGCAAACGTCACCCTGGCAGAAGCAGAGTCGATGCATAAAGTTGCAGAGGAGGGAGCCAAAAGCCAGCGAAGTCGGTCCTATGGAAACCCTGTCCTTTCCCACATCTTCATTGAAACTCCCGGGCTTGGTCTTGAAACCGCGGCTTTTGAGGCCAGAACCCAGCTTGTCAAGCGGATTGAAACACTGTCCGGGATGTTCACCCTGGATTTGGACACCAGGTCAAGTAATGTTTGAACAAGGGAAATTGCTTGTCGGTGTCATTCAGAGTGGCTGTAAAGACGCTTTATTGACTCTTGACGAATTTCTGGCCGGCGAAACCGCGGTCCTCCTCCCGAACCCGAACAAAAGAACATCGTAAAAAACAAGAACGCAGCATACACGTAAACAATGCCATCCGACTTGAAGACACCGAATTTTGGCAAAACCCTGGCTTTTCCGAATCTATACAAAACCCCTAAAACACCCGTACCAACCTGTAAAGAATCCTGTTACAAGAAACAAATGGCGCCAAATCAGGGGGTTGATTTTTGGACCCTCTCCATTCACTTGTTGAGCTTGACAAGTTGCTGAAATGTCAGTGTACAACCGTCATGGCTTATCCTCCAATCCACGCTGTCGTCTTGTCTTCGAATCGTATTAGCCAGGGTCAGGCCGGCGTGTGCTTTGCCAAAAGCGCAGTTTGGAGCACGTGCTTCGCGCATAGCTTAGTCAAAAGAAGAATGCCGCAATTCCAAAGCTTTTCCAGCGCAACTCAGGGAAGACGCGGACACTTGCGTGCGACAAACAATGTGTTGTACAAACTTGTGTGTGGTGCATGGATGTTGGATGCATCAAAACAATCTGATCTGTGAACATGTTTGCAAAAACGGCGCGCTCCAGGTTTGTGCCCATTGAGCTTGTGGGTAAGTTGTAGTAAGGTACCTGGAAACTGACAAACCAGCCTTCAGCCCAAACCCTGAGCTTTTCTCTTAAACCCCGGCTTGCGAAGTGGGACCTACGCTTCTCCGGGTTTTGGTTCCCCAGGAGGAGGCTGGGGAGGCGAGCTCGTACTCGAAGGGCCAATCCTACAAGATGTTGCAGAAGTTGACTTTGCACCAGCGCAAGGCCTACACGGATGCACCCCTGAAGCTGTTTCAGATGACATCGGTGACCGAGCTAGGCCCCCGGATTCCGGTGAATGCGCGCTATTCTGGCACCTGCCGTGCTGCAAGCTTTCAGGTGAGCGAGCGGGTGGTGTACACAGGTTCCAACCCGAAGATACCGCATGGGGCGATCGTGAAGATCGAGCGGCTGCCAGGGTCCACGTCTTTCATGTGGGGCACGAAAAATGTCAAGAACAATGAGTATGAGGTGAAGTACCTTGGAGAACAAGTGATCGTCCGCACGGCCGAGCTGAAGCGTGAAGACATTGCCCCGGTCCAGGTGGATCCAGCGCTCCAGGAGTGGCTGCGCAGCACAGGCGGTACCATCCAGGTCGCCATACCAGGGCCAGGGCGAAAGGATCCGGGCACGAAGCAGGACGCGACGCTGTGGTTCCCCGTGTCCTCGGCTCAGGAGTCCGGCTGAGCCTTGCACGCGTGAGAAAACGGACCCGTGGAGGCTTGTCGATGTTTTAGCCAATCAGGAAGCATAGCATGCCTGGTAATTTATGCTATGTGGCAAATGGAGGGGTTTCGCAATATCAGTACCCACTGCATGTCGGGGAATGCTCAATTTTTTTTGGCTGCTTGCCGAGGCATGTGACGAGCTGGGGCAATGAGCTGTGATCGATTGAGAAGTGTTCATCTTCAGAATGGTGCAACCTAGCATTTCACAACATGGTTAGACTATTTGCTGGGAAATTACACCTGCATACTCGCAGCTGGTGTTTAGTACATATATATACATATAATAATACACTATTACTAGCCAGGAGCCCACACTCACTGAGTATTGGGCGCTTGGCATACCCGATTTGCAGAGTGAAGCAGTTCCCGAATCATGTTTTCAGAATTTGGTTTAGAGATATGGTTATGAAAGTGTCAGTAGGGAACCTCTACAGTGGTGCAGTGGTGGACATGAATCCCGCATGCCCGATAAGATTCGAACTCCCTTTGACTGCGGGAGTTCGCCATGTTTCGCCAGGTGAAACTTGGAGAGATCAGATCCGGAGAATCTCATTGCATCCACTCTCCAGTTTGCTTGACCGGCGATCTCATCTTTGCCCCGAGCCTCATTTGTTTTCTCACAAAAATGGCCGTGGGCCAAAAATCGGGTAACCCCATGGCTTGCCATGTGTAAATGGACACAACGAGTCCGGTCCACTTCCCCGGCGATTTTTTTGCCCCACCCCACGTCGTCTCCCGAAGGCCTCGGCCGACCCGCGACCCCGGCGGCTCAGGATCTCCCGCTGGTGCGGAAGCTCGCGGACCTGAAGGCCGCAGTCAGCGTCTTGCCCCACATGGCCGAGGCCTGGAGAGTGAGTCGCGCGCAGGACGGCGGTGGGTTGACCGTTTTTCTTTTCCTTGTTTCTCTTTTCTTCTTCTTCATCTTCTTGTTTGTTTCTGTTTTTTTTCCCGGAAAAGGGGGGTATACAAGTTAGAAGCGCTGGTTTCCCTACCTGGAATGGTAGAACAATGGGGTTAGGATGGTGCAAGAATGAGTCTTGAGAGATGTGCTTGTGTCCCCAGCTGGCAAAGGGCTAGCCGGAAAGGAGTGTTCGGCGTGTGAGCCCGGGCCACGGGTGGGCAACGGGTTTCTCGCTGTTCCGTTGATATCGGTAACAAGGGTTGCCTCACCCCAAAATCGCTGGGGTCACCAGAATCGTTGGTTTACTTTTGGTCTCCCATTCAAGCTTTGAAACCAGCCACCAGGGGTGTCCAAGAAGACATTATTTGACTGAGTTAGCTGTTTGTTTCACCCGGGCATTGTGACAAGGTGGCTTTGATGTGGATGGTTGGAAGTGGTGACCTTTGTTCTAGGCCGTACTGCACCTTGCTGCCCGAATTTGCATGCGTCAGAGCTGCAGCACAGCGCACGAGCTTTTTTTTCTTCTCCCAGGTTGACGTGCTGCCGGCAGCTTGGCGGCACTAGCCAAAACCGACAGCGCTAGGTTTGCAGACACGTCCACTTGAAGACTTAGCTTCTCTCTTCAAGACTCGCAAAAAGGAACTCAGCTTCTGTGTTGCCTGCCACAATGGTAGTTATTGCCGGCTTCCATAGAGAGAGGACTTCACGAAGTCATGAGCCTGCTTCGGATAATGCGGGCTAGTTGGGAACAAAGCTCTCGGGAACAAAGCGCCGTACGCAACTCAACGCAACCGCAGCAAACAAGGTCATGTAGCTGCTCGTGTGTTGCGTGCTTAAATGTGCGCATTTTTGCCAGCCAGCATTTCAATGCCTTCTTCTTTTTGGCATCGTTCAACGTTGACTTGTGTGCGTCTTTGACAGTGCCATGAGACCAGCCAGTTGCTTGCAACGTGACAACTGGGCACCACAAAGTCGTTGGGCGATTTTAATTTGGAACTTCCTCACCAGCTAGTTTGCAAACGGGAGGCCAGCTTCTTGCTGTTGATGCGGGCCTGCTCAACAGCGACGAAGTACTCAGAACGGCAAAAGCTTGTTTGACATAGCACATGTGCCCAGGACTTGTTGCTACTTGAAGTGTGTTAGGGTCCTTGAGAGAGGCCCGTGCGCGTCTCTGTGTGTGTGTGCGCGGGTCGCATTTGGGGGGGGGGGGGGACCGGAAAGGAACCCCTTTCTCAATTTGTGCCTGTGTTTCTCACAATCTCAGCATGCCGACTAAATGTTTCAGTCCACGTTTCCATAGGTATATTTGACTCACAGCATAGAGCCAACGCCCTGGGTTTCGGGCCGAGCGAACAGGACTGGAGGCCAATCCACCTGGCGGCCATGCAATGCTCCCGCAGCCCAGAGATACTTCGAGCCCTGCTGGAGATGCGCGACTCGGCATGGGATCCAACAATCAAAGGGCGCAAATGGAGCCGGTCGGATTCGGTGTTTTCCTTGTTTTTTGCTTCACAAGACATGGCCAAAGTGTCCTACACAAAACGCGGCAGGCGCGTTTTGGTCTCCTTTCTGGCTTGACTTTGCTTGAATTTGTTTGAATAGATTCCACTGGCCGCAATATGTTTCTCTTCATTTCCCACTCGGCTAGGTTCCTGAAGACCTGCGGATATTGGGGGAGCGAGCCATGGCCGACCGACGATGTTTGTACTGAAACGGCGCGTGTTTTCGTTTCAACACCCTAAGGGTTACATAAGACACATCTGGACTCGCATCGGCGAATCGGGTCTTGCTAGGTGCGGATCCCAACCACACCAACAGTCTGGGCCATCCGTTGATGGGCGTGTGCGACAGCGGCGCAGCGGTCGAGATGTTAGTGGAGTATAAGGCGGACGTGAACAAGATTAGTGGCCCGGCAAGACGTTAGTTTTTATCAATTAGACCCTGGCCACCTTTCAAGAAGCCAAAGGAGGTTGTGTGGGAAAATAGATGTGTTTGTTGTGTTTAGTCAAGGAGTTGGCCCGACTTGAAGTGAAGGAGACGCCCGGAGATGGAGAATAGGATAGAGAGAGAGAACGAGAGAGTGAGAGAGTGCGAGCGAGAGACAGAGAGAGAGAGAGAGGAAGAGACAGAGAGAGAGAGAGAGGGAGGAAGAGAGAAAGAGAGAAAGAGAGAAAGAGAGAAACAGAGAAAGAAAGAAAGACAGAAAGAAAGAAAGACAGAAAGACAGAATGAAATAAAGAAAGAAAGAAAGAAAGACAGAAAGAAAGAAAGAAAACAAGAAAGAAAGAAAGCAAGAAAGAAAGAAATAAATAACTAAAGAAAGAAGGCAAGAAGAGAAAAGAAAAGAATAAGAAAAGAAAGAAAAGAAATAAAGAAAGAAAAAACAAGAAAAGAAAAGAAAGGAAATAAATAAAGTAAGAAAGAAAAGAAAGAAACAAAACAGAACATAAAGGAAATAAATAAATACACAAAGAACGAAAGACAGTAATACACAATAAATAAATAAATACATAAATAAATACATAAATAAATAAATGATGAAATAAAGAAACAAAGATAAATAAATGACAGAAAAAAGGAAAGAAAGGAAGGAAGAAAGAAAGAAAGAAGGGAAGATGACATGAAAGAAAGGAAGACATTAAGAAAACATGAAGGAAAGCACGAAAGAAGGAGAACGACACAAGTCACTGGCAGGGAATTCATGCACAGCTTGCAGATTTGTACACTTGTGTCCAGTCACACATTTTGCCAAGAGCCGCAAGTTCATTTGCTTTCACTATTCTTCGCTGCATTTGATTTGACTCCAGGGGGAACGGATGGGTAAGTCATTGGGCAAGTCATTGGGCGGACAGCTGATTCCAGCGGGGATTCCATGTGAGAAAAGCCCATTGGAGGGGCACAAATTGGCATAGCATTGTTTCCGCACTTTAAAGGCCACGCTTCTTTCCTCAGATTTGGATTTCATCTGGTGACATTCCTGGTTTTCCAGAACAGATGGAACCAATCTGGTTTCAGTTTGATCTCGCTTGATTTACCAGCCTATCCTCGAGGCATCAACCTGCACTGACTATACTTCCCAGCTTCCCGAGTGTCCTAAACTCACATTTACTGGGAGTGCCATTTTGAACATGTAGGCATGCGGTCTTGCAACCCGTTCTCGTTCCATCGCCAATCCGCCCAGCTGCGCCCACTATGGTGTCGCCTCTGACCTTGGCTGCGCTGAGGCGATCGGTGCGGGAAAGAGCTGGGGCCATTTTGGGCTCGTCTTTTTTTGAGGGTACCTTTTTTTATATAGCGTTAAAGAGACACCAAGAGGGAAACCACCATTTAGCGGGGTTCCCCCAAAAGAAATTGCGCCCATCTTGACTGTTTCTACCCTCCAACAATCAAAGTGGACAAGGAGACAACCCCAGACGGAAAGTAGTCTTCCCACACCTTGCTGTCAGTGCCCATAATTGTCGGAGAGGTCGTCACAGTCAGGAACTGATGTTGTGGCGATGGGAGCGAAAAGGGAAGCCACGACAGGGGAAACCATATGGCTGTGGGTCAAAATCAATGGGATCCCATTTTGGGGTAGGTGCACCACCCATGTTTGTCTATTTTAGTGGGGATTGGGATGTTCACTGGGGGTACGGGATTTTGACCCATGGCCATTTGGGTACTGGATACAAACTTCGTCCACTTCGGCGTTGGATGCGTTGGTTCTGCACTACGTCCAACTTGGCTTTCCGAAGGCCGATCCGGGGGAACCGACCCACTTTACCCGCTCGCTGGGTCGAATGGGATCCAAATTGATTCACTTTGGCACCTGAGACCATGGATCAACTTGTTGCTCGGAGTCGCAGCCAGCCCTTGAGCCAGGCATTCTAAGCTACTTGGACTCATGCGGGTAAAACCACAAATTGGTGTGTCTTGTTGGTCAGGGTTTAAAGGACCCTGGGCTTCCCTCGTCTCCGTTATACACAGTCGTCCTCTCCTCACATATTTGTCTCTTTTTTGTCGTCTACGCACATATTTTTGCACCGGCTACTTTTAGCAGGACATTCATCGTTTTCGGGCCTTTTTACGTTTTGTTGCGCAATGATGGTTAGATCCATGGTGGTCACCAAGACGCAAGTGCAAAGGGTCCTTACGAACTTAGATGTTGATCCAAGGCCATGTGTTTATTTGCCTCTGTTATTCTCGATCGACCTCTATACACCGTCGCCTTTTGTTCTTAGCATCGCCGCGATTTTTCCATGGTCAGGACTTTGGTCATTTTTGGGGTCAAGCGGATGGTTTGGGATGGTCTCGCTTGAAACTAAAGAGCGCGCAAGAAAGGGCCGTCATGAAGTCACTCTTAGCCCTGTTTAGCACCCAAATTATCCGATATCTCCATTATATGGGTTTAAACTTTTCTTACACCCTCGCACTTTTCAGTTTTGTTGCAGTTGGGTGCCTAGCGCACCCTGGCAAACCCTCACTTTGTGATGCCCTGATCTCGCTTGAAAGCAAAGGTCCTGTGCAGGATGGTGGCCACTGTTCAGCATCTACTCTGCTCCATACCGTTTTGAACCTCATGTTTTGTAATGTGGCCCTGCCTCTCAATTTTCTTGGCGGGTTTCAGGTGCAAAGGCGACCTCCGGAGCATGCACGTTCATAGCGTTGTTATGAGAGCCCGCGGGCCTGCAGGCATTCTCGCAGAAACCACATACCTGGACCTGCTGAAGCTACACTTGTTTGCCGATTGGTGTTTGAGCTCATTTTTTCGCAAATTCAGATAATTTTGCCAATTCAAGCAAATACTACCGATTCAAGCAAAAAACGCCGATTGGAAAATCATAGCTGCTCAGCCCAGGCGCGTTTGCATTGCACATTCACGGCTCTTCGCCTGTGTGCTCGCTCAATGTCTAGACTCTGCACTGCGCACACCTACCGTGTAACACAATATTGTTTGCCATACTTGGGCCACGCTAGGGGGGCCATGTTTGATAAAGCTGACTCGAAACGCTTTTAAATGCACGCCTGGAATTCACCTGCAGCTGCAGGGGGCCATAGAAGCAGCAGAATCCACTGCATACACAGCAACATGGCAAAAGCAGCAGCAAAACATTCTGCAGAGTGCATGCATGCAGCGCCACTGGGAATATTCGCCTCGGAACCCATACCCCTTCTTGTACATGCAGCGCAAAACTATAAAATGCTGCAGTTGGGGCCCAGTTCAAGCCGAGAGCCTGGCCTTGCACTATCACTCATGATGTAAAGTCCATTGCACAAGCTCCATGTCCAAAGAAGCCTTTACTTGGGCATATGTTGCCTTGCAGCTCGTGGGCGGCATCGTTCTTTGCTGCATGGTTTTACTTGGATTCCCAAATCAGAACTCTTGCCTTATCAGATAAGGCCCGTCCTCAAAAGCGGGCACCGACGTCCTCAAATATGGGTCCGGAGCAGATCGCTGACTGGCCGGCAAAGATCGCCGACTGGCTGGAAACGATCGGCAACTGGCCGGTAACAATTGCCGAATCGTTTTTTGCTCTTTCCGTTGCTTTTGCTTGGGTGCCCGCCTGTAAATTTTCAGAATATGCAAGCGAGCTTTGCAGCCCTCGATTTCTGCGTTTCCTAAGGTGGCACGCAGTGCTTCGGGCTCAGACTTTGCTGTGAAGTCTACTTGGAAGCGGGCCTTGAGATTCAATATTTCCGCGACCGACAAGTTGTTGATCAAAAACCCGTCAAAACCCTGGGTTTTATAAGCAGCCAACGACATTTATTGCAAAGAAGGTCGGTTCACAAAGGATGTTCAACAGGCAAAAGCGAAAATGGCTTCTTACTTGAAGATTAGTGAAGCATCGCATGGTTTTTGTCAGGCAAGTTGAAATCCCAGCAATGCCGCAGCCAATTGTGCTTGCCTGGCCGATCGAGCCCTGTCCGATGGTTGTTGTGCATGCTGCGTAGCGCTCTCTTGAAGCTGAGAGTATCTCCTTATTAGGGGAGTGTGGTGCGCAAAAGATTTGTGGCACGAGGCAGCATGGATTGCAAACATGTACTGTGGCACTTGGCGCTCTTTTGCGGAACAAGTGGCTGCCTGACGCGAGTTTTAAGTCCAACGCAAATTCAGGAAAAGTGCCCACAAAGAACGCATTGAAAGCAGCGGTGCCAAAAGCCACACAGTTTGATGACACGTTGCAAGCAACAAAATGCCGCTCGCCCTCGCTCGCCCTCAAACTCAGTCGATTCACAAAAACACACACATGTCTTTAGTGAAACAGCCACACATTGACCCCCCCCCACCCCGAAATCTCCGGGTATCATGAAGCTGCGTGCAAGCCTCAAAGGCGTCAGTCGCCTGACGATTCTCACCGGCCCAAGGTCATACACCTGCCTCCTTTTCCCATTTGTAGGTGGCGCCGTGGGGGGGGGCACTCACATAGTTCAACGCTGAAAAATGTGTTTTTGTAGATTCCGTGATTTCACGGACAATGGGCGGATTTCACGGACAATGGGCGTAATTTCACGGACAATGGGCGCGATTTCACGGACAACTGGCGTGATTTCACGGACAATGCCCCCGCCGAAAAAAGTATCACATTACCCCCTCCGCCTCCCCCCTCCCCCTTCCTCCCTTACATTTCCCACACCAGCCTGTTTGAAGTCATTTTGAGGGACTGTACGCACACCATGTCAAACTTCAAGTCAAACGCGTTTGGCAAAGCAAAGTTGATATGGAAAGGCTCTTGAGCTTGGCGCTTGCTTTGCGAAAGGCCCTGTTCTCGCTACATTGTCTAGCCACCTAGTACTGCTAGCTGGAAAGCACAATCCAAATTATTGTTTGCTCATGAACCCATCGATCAGCTAGCACTTTTAGCACCTGTTCGGCACGCCGGTTTCATATTCACGCTACTTGGCCCAAGAACAGGCGATTGGTTGATCTATTTTGGCACCAGCATCCAATACTGGTTGCGAAACCAGCTGCACAAAACCAGTCAACATACATTTGCACCCTCGCCCTCTCCATACTGTCAACAAGCCTTTGCCCTTTTCGTACACCTTGGAGATTTCGGCGGGAGGGTCAAATTTTGGCTGTTTCATTTTGTGCATCGACAGAGTTCGAGGGCGGGCGGCATTTTGATTGCTTGCCAACGTGTCATCGAACTTTGGCTTTTGGCACCGCTGCTTTCAATGCGTTCTTTGTGGGCACTTTTCCTGAATTTGCGTTGGACTTATAGCTCGCGTCAGGCAGCCACTTGTTCCGCAAAAGAGCGCCAAGTGCCACAGTACATGTTTGCAATCCATGTTGCCTCGTGCCACAAATCTTTTGCGCAACACACTCCCCAATAAGGAGATACTCTCAGCTTCAAGAGAGCGCTACGCAGCATGCACACCAAGCATCGGACAGGGTTCGATCGGCCAGGCAAGCACAATTGGCTGCTGGCACTGCTGGGATTTCAACTTGCCTGACAAAAACCATGCGATGCTTCACTAATCTTCAAGTAAGACACCATTTTCGCTTTTGCCTGTTGAACATCCTGTACCGACCTTCTTTGCAGTAAATGTCGTTGGCTGCTTATAAAACCCAGGGTTTTGATGGATTTTGATCAATAACTTGTTGGTCGCGGGCATATTGGATCTCAAGGCACGCTTCCAATTAGACTTCACAGCAGAGTCTGAGCCCGAAGCACTGCATGCCACCTTCAGAAAACGCAGAAATCGAGGGCTGCAAAGCTCGCTTGCATATTCTGAAAATTTACAGGCGGGCATCCAAGCAAAAGCAACGGAAAGAGCAAAAACCGAATCGGCATTGTGTTACCGGCCAGTTGCATCGTTTCCAGCCAGTCGGCGGTCTTCATCGGCCAATCAGCGGTCTGTTCCGGACCCATATTTGAAGGCGTCGGTGCCCGCTTTTTGAGGATGGGCCTTATCTGATATGTCAAGGTTTCTGATTTGGGAACCTAAGTTAAACCATGCAGCAAAAAAGAACGATGTTCCGCCCACGAGCTGCAAGGCATCTTTGGACATGGAGCTTGTGCAATGGACTTTACATCATGAGTGATAGTGCAAGGCAGGGCTCACGGCTTGAACTAAGCCCCAACTGCAGCATTTTATAGTTTTGCGCTGGATGTATGTTGCATAATGTTTTATTGCTGCCTTTGATATGGTGCCCTGTTTGCATGATATGGTGAACTGCCACTGCGTCTATGGCCCCCTGCAGCTGCAGGGTTTGCATTCCAGGCGTGCATTTAACTGATTGTGCGGTCGATGCTCAAGCGCCTCGAGTCAGCTTTGTCGAACATTGGGCGCCTAGCGTGGCCCAAGTATGGCAAACAATATTGTGTTACACGGTAGGTGTGCGCTGCAGAGTCTAGACATTGAGAGAGCACGCAGCCCAAGAGCCGTGAATGTGCAACGCAAATACGCCTGGGCTGAGCAGCTATGATTTCCCAATCGGCGTTTTTGCTTTGAATCAGCGTCATTTCTCTGAATCAGAGAAACAATGAGCTCAAAAACCAATTAGTCGGCAAAAGAACTGTACCTTCGGCAGGTCTAAGTATGCGTGTTCCTGGATGGATGGAATTTATGGGGCGTGTGTTGCATATGTAATATATATATATATATATAAATACTGCTTCCTTTCAAAACATGTGATGTTCCACATGCGCGTCCCCACTATTCCCCACTGGGTCCATCTCAGATTCCCAAAAGGAGCCAGTGAAGCCCATCGCCTGCGTATAAATATGCACCCTCGCCCTATCCACACACCCTCACCCCTATAGTCTGCAAAGTTAATGGACGCCCTGGGAAGGGCTAGAGTTGATCCAATTCGACTGTTCCACAAACCAATTTAGATGTTGACCCAATTATAAAATTCCAAGGGCTAGTGTTGCAAAGCACCCGTGGTCCTGCAATCACCTTAATTAAGTTTCAAGATCCTGCAAAGACATGGGCAAAAAGCCAGAAATGCTGCACCTGGCGGGAAAAAATGATCAATCCCCCTCGACCATGATATACAGCGGCGAACCTATCGACCACGTAAAACATAGCCACAGGAACCCCAGGGGGACAACAGGAAACCACCTCGTTTTGGGTTCCCATCGCTCGATGCAGCTGATCAGCTGGGAGAATCTCAGAGAATGGGCTTGGCACAGCTTCCAAACAGTTGATCCCAAACGGAAACGAATTAGAAGAGGTGGGTGTGGCTCAAAATTAGACGATCGGAGGCAAACCGCAGGTTTTTGTCCATGTTTCCACTTACCAGGGTTGATTTTGGTACCGGTGTCTTGAGCCACAGCCAGGTGTGGCCTGGCAGCATAATGCGATTGAAGCTAATTTGCCCGCAAGCAATTGTGAAACGTGATGCAGTTTTCAATCTCCAGCTGCGGGAGTGCACCTTGCACAACTCGCACGGGGTTCACGCGCGGCTTCACAGCAAGAGCATGTTGACGTGCGCGATCCCCGCAGACGGTTTATCGAGCACCTTGCAAGTTCGCAGTCACCACGTGGGCGCTTCCACACGCACAGTCCTCGCAAAGGGTTCGTCGAGCACACTGCAAATTTGCACATCGCCTCAGCGAGAGCGCGTCGAGACTGACGCAGAGGGTTCACGTATCCCAAGAAAAGGTTGCAAAAGAGTCCTCAGTTTTTGTACATCAACTACGACGCCAACAATAGAAGACGAAATGAAGAAAAGAGCATGTTGAAGGATAAAGTTTGACGGTGATTTGCACACACAACACAACACCCGAAACATTTGGAAGTCATTTTCAAGTTACGACCTACACCCGGAAGTTTGAACTTTCACGTTGTCAATCACTCCTTTAAACAAAACAAGCGATTTTCGCACTGTGACTGACACCCGAGCAAGTGAAGGTGGCCTTCTCATTGTGAATCACACGCGAAGTGTTTGAATCTGAAGCAGTTCTTTGGGAAGAGCCCTTAGCAATGCTTCGGACAAATACAATCAAACTTAAAGATATTTTTTTGGGTTTTGGCTGGCGATTGCTGGGAAACTAGGAAGCCAACCACAGCCCTGCCTTGCGGAGGTGCGCTCCGCCAGACGTCTTCGTCAAGCTGATCGAGCTTAAGGCGGATGTAAACCTGGTGAAAGGACGGGTTTCAGGCCAAAGAACTGGGTCGGATTTCAATTGGATGCATCTTATTGGTCGCCCAATGAACAAGCTGCGCTTCGCTCGTTTGAGTGACTCATTCCCCCCAAAGGACACCAAAAGGGGATTGAGAACGTGTAACTGGCTGGCCTCTAGCACCCAGAAGCCCGGGCCGGATTGGGAAGTCAACCGTTGCCGAGTGATGCGAGTTTCAGAAGCCGAGTATGGGCATGCTGAACCCCGTGGTTGCTCACCCGTGTTCCTCCCGCCCAACTCCTTTTCATTAGCAGACATGCATCGGGATCCAGGCATCAGCCACGTAATGCATGTCAGATGCTGCATGTTCCAGGGCTGGGCAATATTTGTTCAAACAACCAGGATCTGAGCCTTCGAATCTGGAGCCGCCTCAAACGTGGTTTGTGGACATGAATCCCCACTGAGTTCTGATGTCCACCAAAGGGTCCCTAGTTAGAATTCATGCCCATCTGAGGATGTTTAAGTTGATGTGTAATTTAATGTTTGAACAGGTAGTTGGCCCAATCCCGGTGTGTACGCCTGAGGCAGGTGACAGGTAACGTGGCTTGCGCGAAGAAACATCCACCTGCATATTACCGTTACATTTCAACCGACGTGTCACAGATTGCATGATGTCACAAAGAAATTTCAATCTAGGCGTCAATGTTAATACAATGCTAGCATGGCACGTAGCGACGTAGCATGCTGAACAGGTAGCATGACTCTACGGCAAATGTTTGAGCAAACATCAACCACATTGCAGGATTGCTGTTAATAACATGCCTTCCCTTGATGTGAGGCTGTTCATTGTGAACATAAGCAACTGTGTCGTGTTAGATGTGAGGGCCTCCATACGTGCAAGGCACTTTAAACATCCAAAATTGGATCTGGAGCTCGACTGAACCACGGGAGCCAATGAGATCAGTTTTTTGTGATGAGAAGTGGAACACCAGGCGTTGTAAGGCGTGGACCCCTCGACCACGGGAGATCAGGAGTTTGCAAGAACATTGATTTTGGAGCAACGACCAGGCGACCACCACTGTTTTGCAGCAAGCTAGATGCTGAAGGAATCGACGTGAAATTCCAGGAGCCAGCTTGAGGAGGTGTCTTGGGGTTGACTCAAAACATGTTTATACCTCTCTGCCAGGAGGACTTGGGCTGTCGCCCTTGCACTCGCTGGCGATCAACTCGAGGATCAATCCGCATTGCTTGCAGCTCGCCGGGGGGCAGTCTTTTGTTTGCCGCTCTGTGTGTCGCACATTGTGAGCTGACGGGTCTGCACATTGAACCCGATTGAAAGGCCGTCCGCATCCGTCCAGCTTCTGAAGAGGTCATGTGGCCAAACTGACGGAAGGCTCTCGTGCCCTGGTTTTTGTGGGTCAATCGGGGGCATAGACGGCCACCGAGAGCAGTGTTAATGCACGTCCTTTCCAAGGAAAGGAGCACTCTTCACAAAAAATACATTTTCACCCCAAAGAAGCATAGCTGCACATCCCCAGTCAATTCTTGCTTCGGTACCGTCATGCTGCAGAACTTACATGACGTTTGGCCAGCATGCCCAGTTGTCTATGGCCTTTGCGGTCCGTTTGGGACCTAGAACGGGCACTTTGATCAGAAACATCTCAAAAGGAACGGACGCTATCCGTTGCAATTGCGTTTGCCCTTCTGTGGATTTCCCGAAGTTGTAAGCCACCTGCCCAACGGGAGGAATCTATTTCGTCCCGTCCCGACAACCACTAACAGTAGATGATAGACTTTAGACCAACCCTCGCTAAGATGGTTTGCCACAAGGGGGATATCTATTCCACTGCAAACTTCGAGCAACGGGGAGAAGCCTCCCCGCTGCAGGTAGCCTCATGCCAACACACTGCGATGCGCCCGTGCGTCGTATGGGCTTGTCTCCAACGGGGGAACACCTATTTGGCTGCTCCTTATTTGATCTTCAAACCAACGTTCCCTTCAAGCAACTCAAGACATTGTATCCTGCCCATATGGGTGTGTGATTCTTAGAGTGAACCCGGTGTCGAGTTCGTGTTGAAGGGAAACCAAAAGGAAAGCGCCCATTTTTGGGCGATCACCATTTGAGCCATCCATTTCTCCCTTGGTCGAAGAAAGGGATCAGACAACAGGGGGAAAGACTGGGGGATCTCCAGTCCTACACAGACCCCGTTCCTATTCCAATGGTACTGGTGGGTTCCGTCTGATGCTTAGGGCGCGAATGATTTTCCTGGGGTGCTTTCAAAGGAACGTGTCGTCATGATTGCCCATTTGCAGGGGTAAACATTTAAAAAAACCAAAAAAAAAAAACAGAGAAGTTCCCCTCCATGTGCTTCTTCGATGTTTGGGATTTGATCAGAACATCGCAAGAAGCCGAGCCCGTTTTTCTCGATTGGTCGGTCGCCCAGGAAGGTGGCGTCTTTGCTGCTGGAGGAGAGCGCGGACCCGGACGCCACGCTGAAACCGGGGAGCCTCTTCCGGGCTGTGGAGCTGATCAGCCGGGGCATCATGCTGCTACGGGGCAAGGCTGCGAGGGGGTCTCGGGGGTGTCCTTTACCCTGGTGCCAAGTGGATTTCGCCCCGTTTTTCACCTTTTTTTGGGAAGGGTTCCGATTCCGGAGAAAACTCAACCAACCAAACAAGGATGCCAGTTTCCCATGGCGACCCTTGTGTAAACCAACCCCTTTTTGAGGGGACCCTCGAGAAAAGATGTTTGGTCGGCTGGAAACCCCGCCGGCGTTGATGTATTGCAAATGCAGAGGCAAGTCCATGAGACTTGGTGCTCAGAATTTGGTGCGGTTGCTTTCATTTTTTCCGCCAACTACTAGTGACAAGAGGTTTTTTTCTCGAAGTGGGATTTAGACCCCCTGTTGGATGGTCTTTGGGGGAATCCAAACGGAAACCTACCATTTTGGGGGACCACTACTTTGAGAACCACCCAGGTTTGAGTCCTCAGCAAGGCACCAGTTGTCTTTTGAAGGGGTCCATTCTGAGAAAACTTGAGAGTGCTCTTTTCAGCTTTTCCGAAAGGAAACCCAAAGGAACACCATTGTTTGATGCGAGTCCGTTTTGAGGTTTGCGGGTGTGCGCGGGTCAGGATTTGGACAAGCCTGAAACGTGCGCAATTCGACGGGTCCCGATCGCTTGGACCAAAGGACCGTGTAGATTCACCCCAGCGGTTGTGTGGGAGGTGGGCAAAGGCGTTCCGCGGCAAGGGGATGGTTTTTTTGAGACATGGCCTTGAAGCGATTGGTGGTTTTTGGCTTTGTTTTGTCTCTTTGATTCACTTTCTTTGTGTTTGTGTTTGCGCCACGGGGGAGCTTCATTCCGAATGAATCTCCCTTTTGTGTTTTAGGTGTCTTGCAGCACCGCCATGATTCTGCACCTAGTGCCAGTACTTGCCTGGAGGCGGCTTTATTTTGTCACCTCTTCGCCTTTTTTAACGCTACAAATCAAGCGCCAACGAGGTGCCAGGGGGAACCAAGTGGGTTGAAGCCTGTGCCTGTGCAACTCGCAATTGGCAAGGCGACGGTGCCCCTGATATATCTGAATCATGCCCCTTTCAAAGGAGCGCATGTGCTAGTGTCGGCGCCTTTCCCAAAAGGAAGGTTCTCTTCCAGAATCCTCCTATAGCTTCCGTGTTGTCCTTTGTGCTGTCCGGCAGCGATCCCCTCTTGCTTCAGCACGACGTGCGCCCCCCGCCCTCCGCCCCCCCCCTCCCCCCCCCCCCCCCCGCGGCCAGAACGCCCCTGGACTGATCCGTGTCTTCGGCGAAGGCAGCACCACCCCTCTGGGCTACGCGGCCCTGTGCCGCGGTGACGATAGCACTGACGAACCACCAATCTCGACTGGTGAGAAGTGGATTTTGTCCATCAGTATGTCTCTTTTTGGCCTATTGGAAGTATGCCTGGTTACATTGGTGCCCTTTTCAAGCCCACTTCTGGCTATACACCCCCTTTGGGATTCACCCACAACCAGTGCATCATGAATTGTTAAGCCACCACAAAAATGGTCTTTCGATAAGGCGGGTCCGTTAGTGAACCAGAGTCCGTTGGTGCTCCACTGGCTGATCCTTAAATTGGCTTGAGGTTTGAAAACAAAACTTTGACACATGCAACGTGTGAGACAGCTGCCTCTCTGAATCGATTTGAGCAAGGCGCTTTTCCATCAGCAACTTCTCGAAACTCTTCTAGCATGGTTTGTAAAACGCCTCCAGCTTCAAACTGGGGCAACACACATGGATTTGTGCAAAGCCTCAAGCACGCTGGGGGATGTTTCCAGAGAAACCAGGACACTCCCCAAAGTTCCCGGAAAACCAAGAGGGACTCGCGAAATTTGCCGGAGCAGACTCACCAAACTTGCCAGTCCGAATTTCCAATGTGGCTGCGGGAACAAAGCTCAGACGGGGTGTGCAACCCTCCACTTGGAAGAGCAAGCTGAATACCAAAGATGTGTAGAAAACATATTTTCGCCTTCAGTTAAACTGAGGCAAATCGAGAGTTTCGAACCGTGCCCTGTATTGGGCTATTCACCGTTGGGTTTCTGTGTTTTGGGGGGCTCCCTTTTCCGTGTTTCTTTTGCAGTTTCGTCAGCCTAAGCGCCGTGAGACAACCCATAGTCCGTTCCGCCTTTCACAATGAGTCATTCGGTCGGCGCATGGGCTCCCGAGTGATTCGGAGCATGTTCAAATGGCTGCGGGTCAAAAATATGCAGCCAAAATGGAATCCTGGTAAATTGAAACATGGACTAAAACCTGCGGTCCCTGGTGGTTTAATTTTGACCCATACCCATGTGAAAAAAACAAAAAACCACCTCCCTGATGTTCACCAGGAAATTCCGTGCCGAGGTTTGGTGGGCAGGAGCTTTTGGATTTCCTGCTAGACAACGGCGCTGCACCCTGGCAAAAACAGCGCCTGGTGTCAAAATAGGGTCTCCACTGTGGGTCTCCTTCCACAAAGGGGTCCACCATTCCCCTCAAATGGGTATGTACGGTATGTGTATGGTTGTCCCTTTCGGTTTCCCCAAGACATCTTATAAGGTTACCCTCGAGTTTCCCAACATGGTGCACCCCGTGTAATTAAAGGGAAACCCAAAGTGTGAGCTTGGCATGGACATACACGTACATCCGGTTTGACCCAAAAGGGCAGCCTCGAAGCCAGAGGGCTGCAGGAAAAATGGAGGCACTGCAGCCTCTGTAGGGACCCAGTTGCATGGTAGCGGAGCACCTGGTGGAGGCGGGCATCAAGATGCCCAAGGAGGAGGATGTGGCACCATGACGCTGGCGAGTACCAAGTCTTCGAGGCCGCGTGTGGCTGGTACCTCAAATATCGCTCAAGACCAGCCAGCGCAACACAGGGAGCCGGATCTCGCAATGGCTCACAGGACCGGCGAAGAGTGCCGCGCGGCACCTGGACCCGGCGACGTTGGACAAGCCGGGTGGCAGGCTGGAGCTTCCCAAGGCGCCGCGAGAATCCCCCTTGCAGAAGCTGCGCATCCCCGATGTCATTGTCAGGCAACCCAACAGCCCAACAACACAACAGCCCAATAACCCAATAAGCTAACAACCCAACAGCCCAACAGCCAAAAAGCCCAACAACCCAACAGCCCAGCAATGTGCAGCCAAAGATTTTCAAGGCAAGTGTGTTTGGCTGAAGCTACCATAAATTTGGCAATAGGGTTGCGTGGCCAAGTTAATAGGTGGCCTGTGTGTGATGCTTAGCTGGAGCAGGGGCCCACTTGGTGGATTTTGTGGGAATTCTGGGCAGAGCTGGATCAACCTTGCGGGTTCAGGCCAAGCCTATTGACGGGCCAAGCTGGGAGCTGCTTTTGTTGATCAGCTCAATTTGTTGAGCATGCATCCAACCTTGTTGCAGCCCCAGAGAACAGAGACAGGTGCATGAGCCCGCCCCGCCCACTCTTCCCTGTTTAGGAAAACAGCAGGTGGCTTTGGTGGCATCAGCTTTTCAGGAAATGGCTTACCCTCCTGGCTGGGTGCACAACCTCAAAGCCCAGCCCAGGGGCTGCCTCCTTTGCAGCCACCGCATGGTGCTTCTGAGTGGCTCCAGGACAACAAGTTGAAGCTCCATCGCTGGCTGGAGATCATATGCCTAAATGAAGCAGACGCATGCCTCAGTCCTCAAGATGAGAAATCCAAGGACCTCATCAATACGTTCATCCGGTTTGGATACAAGGGCATAGTTATCAAGCAATGGTCATCCAAACCAATCGCATGCTTTGTCCGCGGCGGACCTTCCGCAAGAGTGGAACTATTGGCACGACACATTTCCACAAAGAGTCAAAACTGGGGAACTACATTCGGTATGTTCAGATGCTTCTTCGGAACCGAGAACCATTGCACTGATGCCGAATACGACATCCCGACCTATGACTGCCTGGCAACCACAGGAACATCCATGTTCAGGGAATCCAAGGAATACATTGGACCGAGGTTGCCGCCACGCACAACTGTCCAAGGACATGGGCGCAACAAGGAAATTGTCGTCATCCACATCGAGCAAAGTGATGAATTTCGTGGCGTGTTTCCAAAGTCATCCAATAATTCACTCCTCGAATTCGACAGCCGCCATGTGACGAGGGCAGACCTCCCGTATGCTACCATTGGAGTTTTTCACATCCATCCATCCATCAATCAGCCATGGAGCAGCACGGGACGATTTTCAAAACAAAATCATGCCGCTCGTGACATTGTATCAATGCGATGCTATCACCGGAGACGCCAACAAGTCCGCGAACACCCACAGCGAACTCCAACAGGTCTACAATCCGGCCAACGGTCTCATGAATATCCTCATGAAGGCATACCAGAGATTGTGGAATGAAACGGAGAACTTGCCAGTCGTGGACAGAATGGAATATGCAATGGAGACTTCCCGCACCCTGAAATCCATCGTCCGTCATCACCTATACATGAAGACTGGATCCGGGTTTGATCGAACATTCCCAGATGTCATGATGACTTTCGTATTTGGATGGGGCAAGACAAACATCCAGCAGGATTTCCGCAAGGAAGAGATGGACGCGATGAAAGATGATCAACTGGACGCCACGCGGAACGATCCAACGACTGCCATTTTCGACTATCAGGTCTCATCCGCGGAACGCTCAAGCACGTGAACAACGAGATGTTCATGAATGGCTCTCAAGATTCCGGCTCACACAGTCCGCTGATGGTCTACATCCGCAGCAGATCTGCCACCAAGCAGCGAAACTTTGAGCGATCCAAGGAGTGTTTCAAGAAGAAGCAATCCTGGACTCAGCAAGAGTATAAAGAATACAACAAGCAGCAGTGGGGCAATCAGAAGCAGTGGAAGGACTACAGTGACTCGACCTGGCACGACTACGGAGACTACGGCAGCCAATCCGACAGCAGCTATCGGTGGAACCGTTGACTATCTGATGAAGCTGCCACCTTTGGCATCCATTCGACCTGCTTTGGTCTGAGTGATCCGCCAAGGAAAGAAGTTTTTCCCAAGCTCGACTGAGAGAACACCCGAAATCGGCACTACGAATTTCAACCGAATTGATCCTCACCGCCAACAAGACTATTCAGTGAGAGATCAATAGTTTCACATCCGTCCCGCATGTACATAGCGTTGTACATCATCTTTTAGATACATCTAGGTATCTCACAGAATCAGTACAGACTGTTTTCCATTTTGCAAATCAAGACATTTCATCCGCGCAGAAAACAGGATGAATCCAGTATTTCAATACACATGGCTACGGCATAAATCAAGGCTACGGCCAAAGGCCATGAAGCCAAAGATATGTCATATCTAGTGCTGGAGATCAAAAGAAATTTGTGTCTGTTTTGTGTTTGGTTTGTTGAACACTTGATCTCCTGCAACCATTTGGCTCAAGGCCCTTCTATTTCAATTGTACAGTCATTAGACGCATGGTGCATTGATAAAAGGCTTGCAGACCGCTTTACAGGTATAACAGTCAATCCAAGCCACCAGGGACAATCCATCCTCCAATCATCCATATTTGCATATTCGACTGAGAATAGATCCAGGGACCACATAAACGACCTCTACTACCACAAGGTACCAGCTCCCTTCTGGGATAGGTGCCCCCGGCCCCCCCAAACCCCCCCCCCCTGCTACTTTTTGGATTTTTGGCAGAGATTAAAATGCATGTGTAATTGAATCATCACTTTTTCAATCATCATGGGGGGGCTGGCTTCCTGCATCCTCAGCATCGCAAGTTCCTCTCTGGTGCCCCCCGCCACCCCCTTTCGATCAAAACGCACGCCTAATTGAATCATCACTTTTTCGATCAGCTACTTTTTAGATTCTTTGCCCCTAATTCAATCATCATGGGGGGGCTGCCGCCCCCACCCCCAACCCCCGCGCTATTTTTTAGGCCTTTTGCCCCTCATTGAATCATCACCGTTTCGATCAGCGCGAGGGGGCTGCGCGCCTTTAATTGAATCATCACTTTTTCACCCCCCGCCCCAACCCCCCCACTGCTTTTTAGATTTTTTTGCCCCCAATTGAATCATCACTTTTTGATCACCATCAGGGCTGCGGCCCCCCCCTTTGGGCAGAGATTAAAACGCACCCCTGCCCGTATTTGAATCCTCAATTTACCATGAGGTCTTGCCGCAAAGGAACTGATGATGCCGAAGATGCAGGAAGCCAAGGCCCTCGATTTGCTGGATGCTGGGGATGTTGCCCGTATTTGAACCCTCAATTTTACCATGAGGTCTTGCCGCAGAGGAACTGATGATACTGAAGATGCAGGATTGCAAGGCCCTCGATTTGCTGGTGATGCTGGGGATGTTGGCTGGACATGCGGGGGATGTTGAAAACGATGCTGATGATGTTGGCGGACTAGCGTAAAATACGTACACTTCGCGAGAAAATGCTGTAAATTACAGCATTCAGGACGGACAACTCCCAAATTAAATCTCGACCCTGTTTGAACTCTACATCAAGCGCTACACATCTGCGAGCCCAAGGGTATGTGCGTGACGGTAATGTTTGCGAAGGCCGCCCCGAAAGAGAATCGTTGCCGCACTCAGTTATTGCGATGGGCCGACTCGTGTCTTCCCACTGGTCAGAACAGCTGGAAGCGGCGTTGTCGATGCATGCAGCTTTGCCCATTGTCCGATTCGGAGTCCCCTTTTCGTCCGTGAAGGGGGCGCTGAGCCGGTTGAGCCGCGATCTAGGAGCTGTTCTTCGTGTTTTGTTGATGCCTTCGGAACACAACGAGGACCATGCAAAAACAAAGCGCGAACCCTCCTTTTTCCTTCCATGCCCGCGTTCAGAAGACAAACAGACGGCGCCGCAACAGCGGCCCCATTTCAACCGCTTGCCCTTCCGTTTGCTTTGCGCTCTCAGGATCCGCTTCAAAAGAACAATCGAGGCCGCACGCCCATGGAGCTGGCTCGTGGCTCGCATGCACTCGTCTGAAACTGTGCGTCTTGCCATTGAAGTTGGTTTGTTTGTTTTTGCGTCTTTGATGTTTCATCCCAGCAGCCGGGTTCAAGAACGGCCTTGTAGTTAGTATTTCTACTTTGGTGCTTCCTTTTGCTTGCGATGCACCCGAAAAGGCGGAACGGGGAGGGTCAGCTGGTGAGGTGGGAAAGCACTACCGCACCGGTGTTTGGTCTGCCTTGCTTGGTTTTTTAGTGTTTGTATTTTGTTGTTTCGTGTTTGATTAGTGGTTGGCGTTTCTTGCTGTTTTTTGGTCTGGCGCTTGTTGTTTGTATGGTTTTTGCTTTTGACTTTATTGCTGGTGCTGCTGTTGTTGTTGCTGCTGCTGTTGTTGCTCTTGTTATTGTACTTGTTCTTGTCCTTTTCCTGGTTCTGGTTCTGGTCTTGATTCTTGTTCTTGTTCTGGTCTGGTTCTGGTTCTTTTTCTTGTTCTTGTTCTTGTTCCTGTTCTTCTTCTTGTTCTTGCTCTTGTTCTTGTCGTTGTGGTTGTGGTTGTTGTTGTTGTTGTAGCTGTAGCTGTAGCTGTAGCTGTAGCTGTAGCTGTAGCTGTAGCTGTAGCTGTAGCTGTTGTTGTTGTTGTTGTTGTTGTTGTTGTTGTTGTTGTTGTTGTTGTTGTTTTTTGTTGTTTTTTGTTGTTTTTTGTTGTTTTTTGTTGGTTGTTGTTGTTGTTGTTGTTGTTGTTGTTGTTGTTGTTGTTGTTGTTGTTGTTGTTGTTGTTGTTGTTGTTGTTGTTGTTGTTGTTGTTGTTGTTGTTGTTGTTGTTGTTGTTGTTGGTTGTTGTTGTTGTTGTTGTTGTTGTTGTTGTTGTTGTTGTT